CGGCATGGCCTCTTCCGAACTTAGTTAAATTTTCACTCCTTCGGTCTTATTGGTGAGGCGGCATGGCCTCTTCGTTGAGTCGGCATGGCCTCTAGATCTCATACGGACGCGACTTTGTTTGATGAGGCGGCATGTCCCTCTTTAGACTTAGTGGCTTGGGCTTAAAAGCAATATCCATAAGGCCCAACTGAAACAACATTAATTGTTATAATGGGGGTGGCCTTATAAACTCATTAATTATCTTGTAACTCACCAATGTGGTACAAGACAAATTTTATGGTGTAAACAAATGCCCCCCAACTACTTAGTGCATAAGAATTATGGACTAAGTAGTTGAACACCACCATGCTAGCGAAAGTAACAAGCTGGCTAGTGTCTACTCAACACACACCTAGTTCATCCTTAGCCAAAATTTGGCTTTCACGTCAAGCCAACACGGTAGAATGGAACTCGACGTCAAAACTTGTCTCATGCCTTAGCCAAATTTTGGCTTTTAATTATCAAGCCAACATGGCCGGATGGAACTCGACGTCAAAACTTTTCTCATGCCTTAGCCAAATTTTGGCTTTTAATGGTCAAGCCACCTAATTCATTCAACAAGACACCAACTTCACTTTATCACATACACCCTCACTGACATCTCGTACTTGGCCACTTGGTTGAGAGAATAACTTAGAATTTGTCGCACCTATTTGGCATAGATTGGCTCATCCCACCTCGTCACAAGGCTAGACAGCTCCATCGCGACAAGTCAAGCCGTCTACTTTTTTGCCTTAGAAAAAATAATGTTCATTTTTATGTTGGTAGAGACATTATGGTCACCACTCCTCTACTACCACTTTCAAGCCATCATGCCCCCCAGGCCGTGGCTACTCGGGACAAGATAACATGGCATGGCATGGCCTGATGTATGGCTCATCATGTCAAGCCATCACAATGACTTGGTGGCAAGATCTTCATGTCGAAGTCTAACAACTCCGACTCAAGATTTTCACTTTGATATTTTCCTTCTATCTTTTCTCTTAGCCATGGTTGGCTACAATATATTTTTTTATAACTAATATATAATAAGTACATTATATAAATTTATTTATTTTATATGGCAAGAAGTGACAAATGTCACTGCTCTCCATAGCCTTTGGCAACAATCAATGTACCAAAGGTGTACACCCATTGCCAAGTCCATGGATCAAACCAGACATACCATCCATAGACCACATGACTCTTTTCCTCCATGAGAGATGAATCTTCATACATTAACTTTGAATTTTCTAGCTTACTAATGGGTGGTACATAGTCAGCCTGTCTAGTTTTGGTGGCCTTGCATGAGGTATCATGCTTCTTTGCTTGGGCCACCTTACTTGACATGTCAAGGCTATCATGATTATTCTTCTGCCTTGATTTCCTCCCACTTGATACATGTTTAATCTCCTCACGATGTTGGAGCCCAGGTCTAGGCTTGACAAGTCGACAACCACTCTTGTAGCTTTCTTGTCTTCGTCTTTCAACATATAAAACTTGTTGGCCCCTACACTTAGCACTCAACCACCATTGATTCTTTGTGCAACCATGTTTGGCTGGTCTGTATGGTGACTTCTTATACATGCCCCCATGTCCACTCTTGGTGGTTAGTGTTGAGTACTTACTATTCATTGACATGGACTTGCCCCCCAATCCACCCTTGTCCATAATCTCACACTTACAAAATCCATGTGGGGGTTTGACTTGTTGTGTCTTCTTGGAGATGCTCCCTACTCCATTCTTCATGGTGGGTGAAATGCTCCCTTGTCTAGACTTAGCCAAATTTGCGAGACTGTGACAACTCTTTCTGCCTTTTCCACGTCTTTCCTTATTAAACTTGCCCTCATGTCCATTGTTTGTGATTGGTGGCGTGCCTTCTTGTCCATACTTAACCATATTATCATATTTATCACAAAAATGTGTGGCTTTGGGTTGATGTGGCTTCTTGGAAACCACCTGCCCCACAGATGGACATCCCCACTTATCTTTGTCAAGCTTGAGACTCTTCTTGCACCGAGCACACAACTTGTCCACTTCATCAGTCATCATTGCGGCCGGCCTGGCTTGCTTAGTACCCGACGAGCTCCCTTTCTCGAGAACCACGTTGGGGCTTCTTCGAGGTGGTGTTGTATCCAACACCAGCTTGAAGCGTGGCAACTCGAATTTAGAGAAATCCGGGTTGACCATGTTGACGCCAAGCACCTTGGGGAACGGATCAGTGTCCACTAACATGGCATCCTTCTTTGCTTCAGGGAACTTGATACGTCCCTTTTCAATGGCATCCTGCAAGACATTACGGAACACCACACAAGAATCAGTGGCATGTGACATGCTATTATGCCACTTACAATACTTTTTCCCTTTTAATTTCTCGGGCGAGGGAAAGACATGCCCCCCTGTCAACTTGACTTGACCATCCTTATAGAGTTGGTCAAAAATCAAGTCTGCCTTGGAGACGTCAAAGGAGTACTTCCTTGGCTGAATGGGAGCACGATTGGGTCTCCCCCCTTGTGGTCCCTCTTCAACTTTAGACAAGGAAGCACATATGTATGGCTTCCCTGGAGTTATCTCAGCCAAGTCTACCTCAACCTCATTGGCCTCGTGGCCAATATGATTGATGGTATAATCTAAGTTTGGGAAGTATGGTCCCCTTGATGCACTCCTACGATTCTCTTCCTCATGTAAAAGAGACTCATACCTTACAGCACAAGACATGAGTTGAAATAAATCAGAGAACTCCCCATCTTGGAATTTTTTCCTTAGTTCAAAACTCAAACCCCCTTGTGCCAGCTTGACGAACTCCCTCTCCGTCAAATTAACAAAGCAACGGTTACGGGCATTCTTGAAGTTAGTCAAGAAATGCTCAACCGATTCCCCTGGCTGTTGGCGCATACGTGCCAAGTCAGCCATGGACACCTCGGGCTCAGATCTGTAAAACTGAGCGTGGAAGACTTGTTCCATCTGTTGCCAAGTCTGGATGGAGTTAGACGGCAAGTTGACGTACCAAGCAAAAGCTGGTCCTGTCAACGAGTTTCCAAATAGTCTTAACTTAACAAAATCTCCTACATCGCCACATTGGACAGTGAAACATCCAACGTGCTCTACAGTGGACTGATCTCCAGTCCCTGTGAATGTGGCAAACTCGGGAACTCTGAATCCCCTTGGAAACGGGTAAAGTCTATCTACCCATTCTGGGTACGGCTTACGGTATACAGGTGGCATAGCAGGTCTTACTCCCATGCCAAACTGCTCCGTGAGGAGTTGAGCCACCTGATCTCTAAGAGTGTTGGCCTCATGCCCTCCTTGTTGCCCCGCATACGGTACAAACCCAATGGGGTCCATGCCATGCCCATTGAAATGGGGTGGCATTGGAGTCGGGTAGCCTCGAGGTGGGATTTGATCTATGTTACCACCTAGGCCTCCTCCTACTCCCAAATTCACCGGAGCCACGTAGGGTCTTGCCTCCGGGATAGAGGGACGAGCACCCACTTGCACGGGTGGCTGCTCAACTCGAGTGTTGAACATGGTGGCGAGGTTTTCACCACGCGGGGGTACCACTTCCACTCCCACGCGTGCCTGTGACGATTCCCCCACTTGAGTTGTAACAGGAATCTCAACATCGCCTACTCGACGTGGAGGTGGTTGGCTTGCCGTTTGAGGCGGCAAGGTCTCTTGCCGTGGTTGGCCATTCCGACCACCGGCGGGAGAAAGAACACTATTAGTAGGCGTTAGGCCTATGCCATCTAATGGCAAAGCTCTTGACTGCACTACTGGTCTACCTAAAGACTGTCGGAGTTGATCCACCTCATTTGCATTTTTGTTGACTACTTCAAGCAATTGACTAAAACGTCTATCTAGGCGAGAATTGAGACAGTCTATCTGAGAATTTACCTGATGAGTATTTGCCCGAGTCTCTTCCAACATGCGGCGGTTCTCCATCTGCATTTGGCGGTTCTCCTCCGTGGCTTGATGGGTGTCAGCCACCATCTTGCGGTTCTCCTCCATCATCTGACGAAGGGCCCCCACGGCTTCACCAAGATCTCCACCAGGAGCAGTCGCCACCAAGGTCTCTGCTCCACCATTTCCTCCGGCAACCGCGTCAGATGCTTGGCCATACTCGATGTTGGCCACCTGATCCTCCACGAATCCAGCCGGAACGTCACCTTCCAGATTCCTCCGCCTCGGAGCCATCGAATCGACCACAAGGGTCCCACTAGGTGTGCCAAATTTGTTTCCCTGTGAGAAACTTGCGTTGAAAATAAATTGATTGCACCTTTGACTTCTTTGGACAACGATCACTAAACACGGTTCACGCCTCTTCAAACACAGTTCGAACGAGGGTGTTCGATGTTTACACGACTCTCGAGAAAGATCTACATTAAGTTACTCCTACTCCTATGGAGGTTCTGAGAGAGCTCCAGACCTACGACTATTGATAAAAATTTGCAGAGGAAAGACAAGATTGAAAAACTTGACAAGTGGTGTCGAGTGGTAATTTTTGCGGGCCTCTCCTCTGTCGACTCCTCCTCCTATTTATAGGCCTTGAGATGATAACCGCCGTAGAAACTGTCATAGAGTAACTTCCAAAAAGAACTGCTCCCTGCTTCCTCGGAACATGGCTGCCGTGTCCTTTGAACGTGGGATGAGTAGCCGTTACTTCTCAACTGCCTAGGTACCTCTCTTGAAACCGTCGTAGGATCTTGTAGCTTGCCGCATATATCACGGTCATGGACTTCCTTACTCATGTCCATGGCCCTCTTGGGACTTAGTCTCTAGTGATATAATATTTCATCCCCATGTCATTCTCCTTCGTGTCCATGGCTCCTCTTGTGAGGCGGCATGGCCCCTCAGAATTATCATATGGCATGGCCTCTTGTTTGCACCCATGGACCTCTCAATCATGGACATGGCCTCCCTCATGAAGCAGCAAGTCCTTCCCTATACTTAGAATATTTTTGGTTATTTGATTTAGATCATGAGGCGGCATTGCCTCTTTATTCGCGACCATGGACTTCTTATTCATGTCTGTGGCCTCTTCCTTTGGAAGGCATTGGCCTCCTCATACTTAGTATTTTTCACGCGCCCATGTCCTCTTGTCTCGTGTCCATGGCTGTCACATATGACACGGCCATGGACATCTTAATCATCCACATGGCCCTATATTTTCATACTTAGAATATTTTTCACATACCGGGCCTTCCTTGAGATAGCATGTGCTTCTTTATTCTAGATGAACGTGTTCTTCTTTGATGAGGCGGCATGGCCTCTTCCGAACTTAGTTAAATTTTCACTCCTTCGGTCTTATTGGTGAGGCGGCATGGCCTCTTCGTTGAGTCGGCATGGCCTCTAGATCTCATACGGACGCGACTTTGTTTGATGAGGCGGCATGTCCCTCTTTAGACTTAGTGGCTTGGGCTTAAAAGCAATATCCATAAGGCCCAACTGAAACAACATTAATTGTTATAATGGGGGTGGCCTTATAAACTCATTAATTATCTTGTAACTCACCAATGTGGTACAAGACAAATTTTATGGTGTAAACAAATGCCCCCCAACTACTTAGTGCATAAGAATTATGGACTAAGTAGTTGAACACCACCATGCTAGCGAAAGTAACAAGCTGGCTAGTGTCTACTCAACACACACCTAGTTCATCCTTAGCCAAAATTTGGCTTTCACGTCAAGCCAACACGGTAGAATGGAACTCGACGTCAAAACTTGTCTCATGCCTTAGCCAAATTTTGGCTTTTAATTATCAAGCCAACATGGCCGGATGGAACTCGACGTCAAAACTTTTCTCATGCCTTAGCCAAATTTTGGCTTTTAATGGTCAAGCCACCTAATTCATTCAACAAGACACCAACTTCACTTTATCACATACACCCTCACTGACATCTCGTACTTGGCCACTTGGTTGAGAGAATAACTTAGAATTTGTCGCACCTATTTGGCATAGATTGGCTCATCCCACCTCGTCACAAGGCTAGACAGCTCCATCGCGACAAGTCAAGCCGTCTACTTTTTTGCCTTAGAAAAAATAATGTTCATTTTTATGTTGGTAGAGACATTATGGTCACCACTCCTCTACTACCACTTTCAAGCCATCATGCCCCCCAGGCCGTGGCTACTCGGGACAAGATAACATGGCATGGCATGGCCTGATGTATGGCTCATCATGTCAAGCCATCACAATGACTTGGTGGCAAGATCTTCATGTCGAAGTCTAACAACTCCGACTCAAGATTTTCACTTTGATATTTTCCTTCTATCTTTTCTCTTAGCCATGGTTGGCTACAATATATTTTTTTATAACTAATATATAATAAGTACATTATATAAATTTATTTATTTTATATGGCAAGAAGTGACAAATGTCACTGCTCTCCATAGCCTTTGGCAACAATCAATGTACCAAAGGTGTACACCCATTGCCAAGTCCATGGATCAAACCAGACATACCATCCATAGACCACATGACTCTTTTCCTCCATGAGAGATGAATCTTCATACATTAACTTTGAATTTTCTAGCTTACTAATGGGTGGTACATAGTCAGCCTGTCTAGTTTTGGTGGCCTTGCATGAGGTATCATGCTTCTTTGCTTGGGCCACCTTACTTGACATGTCAAGGCTATCATGATTATTCTTCTGCCTTGATTTCCTCCCACTTGATACATGTTTAATCTCCTCACGATGTTGGAGCCCAGGTCTAGGCTTGACAAGTCGACAACCACTCTTGTAGCTTTCTTGTCTTCGTCTTTCAACATATAAAACTTGTTGGCCCCTACACTTAGCACTCAACCACCATTGATTCTTTGTGCAACCATGTTTGGCTGGTCTGTATGGTGACTTCTTATACATGCCCCCATGTCCACTCTTGGTGGTTAGTGTTGAGTACTTACTATTCATTGACATGGACTTGCCCCCCAATCCACCCTTGTCCATAATCTCACACTTACAAAATCCATGTGGGGGTTTGACTTGTTGTGTCTTCTTGGAGATGCTCCCTACTCCATTCTTCATGGTGGGTGAAATGCTCCCTTGTCTAGACTTAGCCAAATTTGCGAGACTGTGACAACTCTTTCTGCCTTTTCCACGTCTTTCCTTATTAAACTTGCCCTCATGTCCATTGTTTGTGATTGGTGGCGTGCCTTCTTGTCCATACTTAACCATATTATCATATTTATCACAAAAATGTGTGGCTTTGGGTTGATGTGGCTTCTTGGAAACCACCTGCCCCACAGATGGACATCCCCACTTATCTTTGTCAAGCTTGAGACTCTTCTTGCACCGAGCACACAACTTGTCCACTTCATCAGTCATCATTGCGGCCGGCCTGGCTTGCTTAGTACCCGACGAGCTCCCTTTCTCGAGAACCACGTTGGGGCTTCTTCGAGGTGGTGTTGTATCCAACACCAGCTTGAAGCGTGGCAACTCGAATTTAGAGAAATCCGGGTTGACCATGTTGACGCCAAGCACCTTGGGGAACGGATCAGTGTCCACTAACATGGCATCCTTCTTTGCTTCAGGGAACTTGATACGTCCCTTTTCAATGGCATCCTGCAAGACATTACGGAACACCACACAAGAATCAGTGGCATGTGACATGCTATTATGCCACTTACAATACTTTTTCCCTTTTAATTTCTCGGGCGAGGGAAAGACATGCCCCCCTGTCAACTTGACTTGACCATCCTTATAGAGTTGGTCAAAAATCAAGTCTGCCTTGGAGACGTCAAAGGAGTACTTCCTTGGCTGAATGGGAGCACGATTGGGTCTCCCCCCTTGTGGTCCCTCTTCAACTTTAGACAAGGAAGCACATATGTATGGCTTCCCTGGAGTTATCTCAGCCAAGTCTACCTCAACCTCATTGGCCTCGTGGCCAATATGATTGATGGTATAATCTAAGTTTGGGAAGTATGGTCCCCTTGATGCACTCCTACGATTCTCTTCCTCATGTAAAAGAGACTCATACCTTACAGCACAAGACATGAGTTGAAATAAATCAGAGAACTCCCCATCTTGGAATTTTTTCCTTAGTTCAAAACTCAAACCCCCTTGTGCCAGCTTGACGAACTCCCTCTCCGTCAAATTAACAAAGCAACGGTTACGGGCATTCTTGAAGTTAGTCAAGAAATGCTCAACCGATTCCCCTGGCTGTTGGCGCATACGTGCCAAGTCAGCCATGGACACCTCGGGCTCAGATCTGTAAAACTGAGCGTGGAAGACTTGTTCCATCTGTTGCCAAGTCTGGATGGAGTTAGACGGCAAGTTGACGTACCAAGCAAAAGCTGGTCCTGTCAACGAGTTTCCAAATAGTCTTAACTTAACAAAATCTCCTACATCGCCACATTGGACAGTGAAACATCCAACGTGCTCTACAGTGGACTGATCTCCAGTCCCTGTGAATGTGGCAAACTCGGGAACTCTGAATCCCCTTGGAAACGGGTAAAGTCTATCTACCCATTCTGGGTACGGCTTACGGTATACAGGTGGCATAGCAGGTCTTACTCCCATGCCAAACTGCTCCGTGAGGAGTTGAGCCACCTGATCTCTAAGAGTGTTGGCCTCATGCCCTCCTTGTTGCCCCGCATACGGTACAAACCCAATGGGGTCCATGCCATGCCCATTGAAATGGGGTGGCATTGGAGTCGGGTAGCCTCGAGGTGGGATTTGATCTATGTTACCACCTAGGCCTCCTCCTACTCCCAAATTCACCGGAGCCACGTAGGGTCTTGCCTCCGCGATAGAGGGACGAGCACCCACTTGCACGGGTGGCTGCTCAACTCGAGTGTTGAACATGGTGGCGAGGTTTTCACCACGCGGGGGTACCACTTCCACTCCCACGCGTGCCTGTGACGATTCCCCCACTTGAGTTGTAACAGGAATCTCAACATCGCCTACTCGACGTGGAGGTGGTTGGCTTGCCGTTTGAGGCGGCAAGGTCTCTTGCCGTGGTTGGCCATTCCGACCACCGGCGGGAGAAAGAACACTATTAGTAGGCGTTAGGCCTATGCCATCTAATGGCAAAGCTCTTGACTGCACTACTGGTCTACCTAAAGACTGTCGGAGTTGATCCACCTCATTTGCATTTTTGTTGACTACTTCAAGCAATTGACTAAAACGTCTATCTAGGCGAGAATTGAGACAGTCTATCTGAGAATTTACCTGATGAGTATTTGCCCGAGTCTCTTCCAACATGCGGCGGTTCTCCATCTGCATTTGGCGGTTCTCCTCCGTGGCTTGATGGGTGTCAGCCACCATCTTGCGGTTCTCCTCCATCATCTGACGAAGGGCCCCCACGGCTTCACCAAGATCTCCACCAGGAGCAGTCGCCACCAAGGTCTCTGCTCCACCATTTCCTCCGGCAACCGCGTCAGATGCTTGGCCATACTCGATGTTGGCCACCTGATCCTCCACGAATCCAGCCGGAACGTCACCTTCCAGATTCCTCCGCCTCGGAGCCATCGAATCGACCACAAGGGTCCCACTAGGTGTGCCAAATTTGTTTCCCTGTGAGAAACTTGCGTTGAAAATAAATTGATTGCACCTTTGACTTCTTTGGACAACGATCACTAAACACGGTTCACGCCTCTTCAAACACAGTTCGAACGAGGGTGTTCGATGTTTACACGACTCTCGAGACAGATCTACATTAAGTTACTCCTACTCCTATGGAGGTTCTGAGAGAGCTCCAGACCTACGACTATTGATAAAAATTTGCAGAGGAAAGACAAGATTGAAAAACTTGACAAGTGGTGTCGAGTGGTAATTTTTGCGGGCCTCTCCTCTGTCGACTCCTCCTCCTATTTATAGGCCTTGAGATGATAACCGCCGTAGAAACTGTCATAGAGTAACTTCCAAAAAGAACTGCTCCCTGCTTCCTCGGAACATGGCTGCCGTGTCCTTTGAACGTGGGATGAGTAGCCGTTACTTCTCAACTGCCTAGGTACCTCTCTTGAAACCGTCGTAGGATCTTGTAGCTTGCCGCATATATCACGGTCATGGACTTCCTTACTCATGTCCATGGCCCTCTTGGGACTTAGTCTCTAGTGATATAATATTTCATCCCCATGTCATTCTCCTTCGTGTCCATGGCTCCTCTTGTGAGGCGGCATGGCCCCTCAGAATTATCATATGGCATGGCCTCTTGTTTGCACCCATGGACCTCTCAATCATGGACATGGCCTCCCTCATGAAGCAGCAAGTCCTTCCCTATACTTAGAATATTTTTGGTTATTTGATTTAGATCATGAGGCGGCATTGCCTCTTTATTCGCGACCATGGACTTCTTATTCATGTCTGTGGCCTCTTCCTTTGGAAGGCATTGGCCTCCTCATACTTAGTATTTTTCACGCGCCCAGGTCCTCTTGTCTCGTGTCCATGGCTGTCACATATGACACGGCCATGGACATCTTAATCATCCACATGGCCCTATATTTTCATACTTAGAATATTTTTCACATACCGGGCCTTCCTTGAGATAGCATGTGCTTCTTTATTCTAGATGGACGTGTTCTTCTTTGATGAGGCGGCATGGCCTCTTCCGAACTTAGTTAAATTTTCACTCCTTCGGTCTTATTGGTGAGGCGGCATGGCCTCTTCGTTGAGTCGGCATGGCCTCTAGATCTCATACGGACGCGACTTTGTTTGATGAGGCGGCATGTCCCTCTTTAGACTTAGTGGCTTGGGCTTAAAAGCAATATCCATAAGGCCCAACTGAAACAACATTAATTGTTATAATGGGGGTGGCCTTATAAACTCATTAATTATCTTGTAACTCACCAATGTGGTACAAGACAAATTTTATGGTGTAAACAAGACCCGTAAGAAACGACGAGTCCGTCCACAAGCAAATCCTCCCATCAGCAAGCTCGGAGACGACGCCCTGATAGAAATTCTGATTCGCCTCCCCAACCCTCGATACGCCTGCCGCTGCAAATGCGTCTGCAAGCGCTGGAGGTCCCTGATGTCCAGCCCTGCATTCAATCGCGGTTTCGCTTCTCACTACCAGGATACGACGATTATGAAGAAACTACCGCCACCTCCGCCTATTCCCTCTCACGACCCGATGAAACGGAAATCATCGATCATTATGAGCTTCCTTCCTCAACATCCTTTGGACTATCGATCAGAACTCAAAGTCCTGGACTGCTTCAAGGACTTGCTTTTATGCGGGTTTTGGGATTTTACGACGACTCATACAGAAATGGTCAGAACGTTTCTGGTTTGCAATCCGTTTACGGAGCAATGGATAGCACTTCCTGTAGCTCCAGACAAGCCAAAGGGTTGTCTTTGGACGGTCTCAAGGTTGGTTTGTGAACCCCGCATCTCTTATGATCTTGATCTAGGACCAGAAGGAGGAGGAAGTGATGAGGACCAAAATTCATTCGCTGTTTATTCCGAGTATCGGTTCCGGGTGTTGACTATCTATCAAGATATGAGATCAATCAAACTCGACATGTTTTGTTCCGAGTCTGGGGAGTGGACCAAAGAGGCTCTTATTCTTGATGGTTATCGCTTACTCGAAGGCAAAAATGTATGGTCCTGCAATGGGGAGTTGTTTTGGTCTTGTGTTGAGGATGATCAAGGGGGTGACCCATTGCTTGCTTCGGTTAATGCTTTCTGCCTTGATATGCCTATTGATATTTATGCTTGTCCACTCTTCGAGAAGACAAAGCAGTGGGATGTTTCAATCTCACAGGGTGCTCTGCACGTAATTGTGCGCGAAATCCAAACTGAAATGGTAAGTGTTTGGAGACGGGAAGAAGATGGCAGATCATGGATGATGCAATGTGAAGGGTCGTTGAAGACGGGTACATCATCATCAATGTCTTACTTTGATCTCAAATACTATACTATACTTAATACTCATCCAGAGAGGCCGGAAGTTGTTAAATATCATCCTCCTTATATTAACGATGGGGCTACCTTGTCCTACGATCTGAAGCGGGGAGAATTAGAGTACGTCGGTGTTCTAAGGCTATACACACCTCATTGGACGGTGTTCCAACCTAGGGTCTCCTGCTGGCCTACTCCAATTCCAAGATACAAGGAATTGCGAGGTATCTACGATGGGCACATGAGCTGGTTCAGAGTGCCAAGCAACAACAACTCCCCCAATACTGCTCATCAAAGCAAGCGCAAAAGATCAACAAGAAAGCAGGGCTCTGGGTAGAGGAATGCCAACCCTGTAACCAGGGAATCGCTCAATTGTACTCAGGTAGACGTTGGTTGCGAGTCAAGTAGGATGATTGGCATTAGAAGACATGTGAGTTGAAGGTGGGAAAGGAGACTACATGTTAATCAGTTGGTTTTAAGGATGTTGGTTCATGCACTGCAGGTTATGATGAAGAACTGTGTTTTTTGGTGTTTGTGATTGAGCGAAGAAGGAGATGATGATGATCAGAAAGCAAAGGGTGTTGTTTCCTTAGCAATTGTTGGATGGTAGAAGTGGATGCTGCTATCTAAGTAGTTATTGGTATGGTGATGATTGGGTTGTTTTTGTTAACATGATTTTCATTTCAGATGATACTGTCAGCCATACAATGTGAAGTAGTTGCGCTTTAGTTAATCCTCCAGCATTAGCATTCCGACCGGGTAGTAGGCTCTAGCCGGATGTTAATTAGCACCGGGGTTGAAAGTTCTGCGGCGATAATGTATTTATGGTTTATTTATTATATTGTTGGTAATTTAATCTCATATATGATATAAGATTTCCTTATACAGTTAGCTTAGCTTTTTGGACCGGTTACTATAACAAAACCCCTTGTGTTGTTATTGTAACAACACTAGTCTCCAACCAATAGTAAGCTATGATTGTGATGACTTTTTATTAGATGAGTTGACCTAGTGTAAAATCAAAGTAGGGGTATAATTGTCATTATGAAAAATATATTAAATTAATAATAAAAATATAATATTTTTTTTATTTTCGGCCCAAAATTTTGGTCGCCGGAATTCGGCCACCGGTCGCCGGAATCTGGTCACGGTCACCGGAATATGCTTTTTGTCGTCGGAATATGCTATTTTGTCATCGAAATATGCTCACTGTTGCCGGAATATGCTCATCGTGGTCGGAATATGCTTACCGGCGTCGGAATCTAGTCATCAGGGGCGGAATATGCCTATCAGCGCCGGAATCTACTCACTGACGGTCATCAGAGTTTGGTCAACGCCAACGACCACCGGATGTTATGTTCTGCATTGTGAGGTTTATGGTTTGGTTTCTCATATTTTTGTATGCATTTTGTGGTTTGCTTTGCGAGGTTTCTGGTTTGTTTTAAGTGATTTATAGTATGGATTGAGAGGTTTCTGATATGCTTTTTTTGGTTTTGCTTTATCGTGTTTGTGCTCTGTATTAGGAGGGTTCTAGTGTGCTTATGAGATACTTGTGGATTGCATACCAATAACTCCCAATTCCCAAATACATACCATAAAGACAATAATTCATACAAAAAACACTAAAATACATAAATTGTTTTTTAACCCCCACCCCCACTTGGCCACACCCACGTTACTGAAACCCATTAATTCCCAAAAACACTCGGCTGCTCATACTTTCTTTCGTTAATCTCATGGATCTGTACCGCCTCTGCCGCCTTCCACCGGGGAGAGCATCAATCTTCCAAAAACCGACGATCGCAAGCTTGACATCGAGTTCTGCGGCGGCGTTATCAGGCGCAACAAGAACCTGGGCCTCGTTGGATACAACCGCACTGGAAAACGGGCGGAGATCGGATGAATAGTCGGATCTAGAAAAGAATCGCCTCCTTCCGTGGTGGAGAGACTGTAGGCCCGATTTCTACTTCGTTCCCTGGTCGGCATAGATGCCTCGTACGAATGCTAGGGTGGCGGCCATCCAAACGCCGTTCGCGAGGCTACAGAGATGATCCAGAGCGGCGTGGGGGACCTATCGCTCGTCGCCCCTTCCTTTCGTTGTGCCGCCTTGCCTCCCACCTCCGCACAACTCCTAGCATTGCTCCACTCCGGAATTCCACCTCCGATGGCCATTGCCTTCTCCACCATCAACGATAGAAAAGCTAGGCGAAGGAGTAATCAGATCTGGGAAGGAAGGGTGCGACAACGAGATTCGAGATGGGCGATAGATCATGGCTCTCTCGAAGGCCGAGCTGGAGACGGACGAGTCAGTGCACTCCACCTTCGCGTCCCGGTACGTGCGCACCACGCTTCCCGATTCAAGATGGCGGAGTAGTCGATCCCGAAGGAGGCGGCGTACCAGATAATAAACGACAAGCTGATGTTGGACGGGAACCCGAGGCTGGACATGGCGTCCTTCATTACCACGTGGATGAGACTGGTGGAGGAAGAGAATTGAACGGCCGAAAGAGGATTGCCGCCGGCGCTGGAGGAGAGACTGTGGGGAGGGGCGGAAGAAATTGATATACAAATTAGAGGATCAGACAAGAAGAAGGGTGGGTGGGCTAAATATATTTTAATTTCAATTTTATTAGATTTTAGGTAAGTTTACCCTTATACCCTTAATGAATCATGTTGTTATACTATCCGCACCCATTAATTAAAGGATGTTCGTCTCCCATGATTAAAGGGGAAACAAAATCACACCAAAAAAACAAAGGGGAAGCAAAAATAATAGCATGAAGAAGTGGCGTAGACACGTAGTCCTTTATTTATTGGCTAAATTACACGTTTGGTCACTCAAATTATATAAATCTTTCACATTTGCCACCCAAATTACTTTTCTTTCACATTAGCCACTAATTTTACAATTTGTTTCACCATTAGTCACCGGGCGTTAGTCTCCGTCAAACTCCGTTAACGCCTTCAGATTTTGAATGACATGGAGAAGCGAAAGCGTGTTTCTGCGAGAGAGCTTTCCAAGGGAAGGGTTTATTGGAGCTTCATGGGTGCGTTGGTTCGTCGATTGACAAGACCATAGCGGTTGGTCTCCCACTGTTCAATTCTCCTACCTTCACCGGCGAATTGGATAGCAAAGCGAATTCCAATTCCGGTAGAGTAGGGTTCGGAAACGAATTTGTAGTTTCAAAGGTGTGGCTGAATGATTCTATGTTTCTAAGAGAGAGCTTTCGAGGGAGGGGCTTTGGTTTGAAGTCCTTCGTCTGGAGCCCGTTTGAAGGTGCGTCGAGGGAGCAGCAGACGCTGCTGGAGTTGGAAGACACGATGGCGAGGATGAAGCCGGAGCAGGAGAAAAAGAGAGAGAATGAGGGCATATTTTTTATTTTTTAAATTGATATATCATTAACTTAACAGTCTAGTCATCACTTTCGTTTGCCACGTTATTAAAAATCTGACGGCGTTAATGAAATTTGACGGAGACTGACGGCCGGTGACTAAGAGCATCCACAATGGGTGTCTTTTCCCCATTTCATTGTGACATGGCAATTCCATTACCAATTTCATGGTTGTAGCTTGTTATTTCATTTTTGAAAGATTTCATTAGATGAAATTCAATATGGAAGAGGCAAAGTGGGCCCACTTCAATTGATTAGAGAGTATACAAATTATTTGTTGTATTATAAATGTGAATAGGGCCCACCATATGAAATTGAAAGTAGATTTCATGGATGTAGAAAAAATAGAAGTGAAGAGATGAAATTGTAAAAGGTGTACATGTGGTTGTAGGGCCCACAAATGAAATAGTTATGCTATTTCATGGTTGTTGATGGTCTAACGGTGAAACAAATTGTCAAGTTAGTGGTTAATGTGAAAGAAAAGTAATTTGAGTGACAAATTTGAAAGATTTATATAATTTGAGTGACCAAACGTGTAATTTAGCCTTTATTTATTTTTTGTTTGTTTGTCGAAGCAGTGGCGTAGTCAGTGGTGTAATTCCAAAATGGGGTCCAATATTAAGCCCAATGCAAAGCGTTATTGGCCTGTGTAGTGTATCCACTGTAAAAAAAGCTGGAGGCCTGATGAATGATCGATGACCACGGACTGTGCCAATGGACTTGTTATGTAACAAGTAGCGACTTAATTGTCTGGCTGACCCACGGGCCATGGCATGGACTTTTTGTTGATACATTCTTCGAGTTTATTTTTCTGGAAACAACTCATCTTCTTGTGTGTATTTTAATGGTTATATTGCCTTGCAAGTCATCATGAATTGGATAAAATGGTCGATTGGATAAGTGTTTGTGATCGACTTTAAACCTAGACCGGTTTATAGTGTGTAACAGGCTCATAAGCAGAACAGTCTGACTTTTCCAGCAAAGTGGTCGACCATGTCAATCAGAAGTTGACTGTTCCAGAGAAGAGGTCGACCACATGGAAGAACGCTCGACCCTCAAACTTAACAAATCATCATCTTGGTAGATTAAAATAATTGATGTTATTTTTGACCTTTTACAAGAACCACAACCTTTGAGTTGTTGCCTATTATATATGGTCGACCTCATAGGACCCAGAATGTCATGCACATTCTAATATCTGATAAACTACCGTAGAAATTATGAAATTCAATCGACAATCTTGGTAGCAAGAAACCATTTCTTCTTAAAATCTGAATCGTTAACACCAAAACACAATAAACACACCTCATAACGGTTTACGCATTTCTCAAATAAAAACCACGACGACTTAATCTCTATCCACAATCATAATGGCTTAAAACAATATCATCTTACAAGGTTAATAGACTACACCAAATTAAATAAAAATCCTAATATAATTTTCCTTGATTTCTCTTCTATCACTCATCTTGATTTACCCGATTGATAGTGCTAAAATTATGGTGTTCGATGTGTTGGAAATTAGGATACATGTATATGTCATTGATAAATCGAAATTCATCCCACATCCCAGTTACAATCACCCAAAATGTGCTCATCCACAGGAAATTTGCCTCATATAATGTCATGCGATCCCATATATGAGATCCCATATGACATATTCCCGCGGTTTTGTCTTTTAGGAAGATGTATAATGCATTCCTACTACTACCATCACCAAATGTTCAGAATAACCAAATCTTGTCCTTATCGTTGCCAGTTCTCCATCAAAATAGGGTTGACTAACTAAAGAAGCACCAACTCCATAAATCCTCAAGGCATGAGTTCTTCAAAGAAAACATTTTTTCTGCAACACAAAATGAACATGGAGAAGGATCACATTGAAGACGAGGTCGTGCTATTTGGCTCTTGGTCAAGCAGCATCTGCACCAGGGTACACATAGCCCTAAAACAGAAGGGTATACCCTACAAGTATGTGGAAGAAAACCTGCAGAACAAGAGCCAGTTGCTCCTCAGTTACAACCCTGTCCACAAGAAGGTGCCTGTTTTGGTTCACAAGGGCAAGCCCATTCCTGAATCCCTACTCATCCTCGAGTACATCGACGAGTTCTGGAAAGACGACGCCCCAATGCTGCTCCCCGGGGATCCTCACCACCGAGCTAAAGTTCGTTTCTGGGCCAAGTTTCATGATGAAAAGGTGAAAATTTCTCTGTAAGAATCACATCTGATCTTTGATTTACCATGCTCGGTTTTTATTCTAATGGAAAGCTCGTTACAGATGGCACCTAATGTGTACAAGATGATATTTGCCAAAGGTGATAAAGACCAGGTGGGGAAGGCAGTTGCAGAGTTCGATAAGTTGCTTACCGTGTTTGAACAAGGGGTTCAGAATGATTTCCCGGCCATGTTTCAATCCGTTGGTGAAGGGCATCAAGAGATGGGGTTTCTGGAAATTGTGGCGGGTGTGAAAATCTGCATTTATGAAGCTGTTGAAGCGACTGTAGGTGCTGTATTTGACACAGCAAAGCACCCTGCATTTACCTCGTGGGTCAACGCCCTGAAGGAACTGCCTTTGATGAAGGAGCATCTCCCGCCCCATGACAAGCTTGTTGCCAGAATCAAGTTCGTACTTGATCAAGCTTGAGAAGATGTATTTGTGGAGGATCTGTGATCAATGAATCGATCTGCAGGGAACCTCGTACGCCGCAGAGTTTCGTTGTGATAGTTATGGGGAGACTTGGTCGAGTTCTTATCTGTTTTCAGTGATGGAGATTTTAGTCGTTTGGATGGGGAATCGAGCAATGTAAGGAAATCATAGTTCTACTGTTTCAATCAATTTCAATTCCACTCATCAATAATCAACCACATTAGATTAGAGTCGAAGGAGATTTTGCCTCCTCATGATGTGCAGGATTAGCTAGATTAGACGCTGATAGAATTGAATCTATGATCCCAAAGTAGTTGACAAAACGAGTAAAACAAGCAATGGATCAGGATCAAAATCAAACGTCAAAGAGTTCGAGAGAGAGGTGCAAACACTGGGCACAAAACTTTGTTTTCAAGGCACAGAACGCAGTACTAGGAATTCATAATTCATTTCGAGATACAAAATTCAAACCGCAACACTCTAAACATATCACCAAACGATTTCCTCCTAATGCTGGCCGTTTTCAACAAATCTTCCCTGCTTCAAATTACTTGGATGCCTGCTTTTCCTTTGCCTTTTGAATCTTCAACACCTTCTTCACGATCTTCTGCTCCTCAACAAGGAAAGCTCGGATAATCCTACAAGAAGTAACACCCAGCATTAGACAAATCATCCCAGAAAATCAGAGCATAAATGGAAAACTGGGTTAGGGTAATCAGCACACACCTTTCTCTCACTGCACCACCAGACAGAACACCTCCATAGGCACGGTTCACAGTCCTTCGGTTCCTTGGCAACCTTGACCGCTTGTACTCAGCAGGTCTCAAGTGAGGAATCTGCAAACAGTAGCTTTATGCATTAATACATTGGTATGCACTCAGACAAGATATAACAAGAAAGAAATAATACGAAGTCTCCAGTTCAGTTCATGAACTATCCAAATATTTCCAGCCTACCCAAGTAGCTATCCAAAACAACGGAGGCAGAAGGAACGAAGTGGACAGTTCGTTAAGCGTAAGCCAGATCAAAAGCGACACGATATGAAAAATACTCCTATGGCCCCCACTAGAGTTCTCCTAACATGTAGATGGTCAAATTTCCACAAACAACATCTTGTGACAAATCATCAAGAGACTAAAAATTGTTCTTGTGAGGAGAGATGGAACTTCCACATACAACTCAACACCCATCCTCTAAGAATCAAACAAGAACACTAAGTCTAAACCAAGAGGATTATAAAGTTAGCATTGCAAGAGAGATATAATAGACAAATACTCTACTAAAGAAGCTCAAAGCCTCAGAACCACCATAACTCTAATATTCATATGAACGAGACAAAAGATACATGCAGGTAATAACTTCAAGGTGAATAGACCTCTGAAAGATATAGAAACTAGCCCAATCAGTAGTATTAAACAGACGACCCATAGGTTTCTGTAGTCCAACCTTCCCCAAAATCAATGCGTGACTAGTAACAACTATCTTCATCAAGATTTACAGATATTTCAAAAAATGAAGTCCTCCCATCATTAAAATCATGTTCAAGCTAGAACTAAAGCTAAATCCAACACCATCTAAACAACCAGAGAAAACTTGTTATTGAAATCCAACATACCCCTTGAATCCTCTTGCCGGTGACGGGACACTTAGGACCACTGGCCCTCTTCTTAGTGGTCTGATACACCAACTTTCCACCTATCGCAGACAAATAAAATACACAAACTTCAGCACGAACACAGAATCACAGAGAAGAATCAAGACGAAGAATGGTTTTCCGGAACTAAGGGATTACCAGGAGTTTTGACAATCCGGTGCTGGTTGGACTTGGTGGCATAGCTGTGACGCTTACGATAAGTGAGCCGCTGGACCATTTTCGCGTTCTCAAGCTCTCTCTACTTTGTTAGGGTTTTTTGAGACTGCTCTGTGGAGCTGCTGGCAGAGGAGAAAGGGTTTGTGATGGCGGAGAAAGACAATATAAATGAGGCGCAACCCTAGATCTTACGGCTGATGATTCCCCAAAAAAAGGACGACTCAGATTTGATGGCCGGTTCGGATTGGGCCGCGTGCTCTTCAAAGCTGTGGATTGGTGCAGGCTCAATATTAATATGGGCCTAGTGACATGTAAATTTGGCCCGTCTAATTTGGCAATATTGGTGGGATAGAATTGTGCGATGCCGGATTTATGATTCATTGTCTTAGGAGATAGCAAATAGTGTAGGGTTCGTTTGGATGGATCAATTTATAAATGAGTCAATTTGATCAATTGTCTTGTTTTATAAACGAGGCAATTAAAACGAGTCAATTCGAATTATCTGCCCCCACCCCAGATAATTGAAATTGACTCAAAATGGATCAATTCAAAATACCTCAGGCAGATTGACCCATCCAAATTTTTTGCTGGCAAACGAGGCAATTTGGTACAATTGTCTCAAAACGAGACAATTGTGTCAAATTGATCCGTTACAATTCCTCATCCAAACGACCCCTTAGTTTTTGCTAAGAAAGTTAGGGTAATTTAAGGGATCGATTCGGTATAGAAGATAACATTAGGTTGTGATTTGAGAGTGTCTCAATATTACTCTGCTATGACCACTAAGTGGCAGGAATACAGGATGTATTGACCCATTTCTTGTTGCCCATGTCCAGAAAGTCTCTATCATACCATAAAAATTACCAAGAACAAGATTTTGAAATGTTGTTAAAATCGAACCGATATTGAACCGGTATAGTTAATGGTTCACGCTTTACTGGTTTAGACCGTTAACAAACCGGTACCTAATAAACAAGAATATAAAGTACCATTTGAAAAATACAAACATACAATGTGATGAAATAAAAGTTTGAGGACTGACTTGACTTATGTTTTAATATGGTTAAATTACATGTTTGGTCACTCAAATCATATAAATCTTTCACGTTTGCCACCTGAATTAATTTTCTTTCTTATTAGCCACTAACTTTACGAATCTTTTCACCATTAGTCACTGGCTGTTACACTCCGTTAAGTTTGTCCTACGTCCCACCGACCGACTCGCTCAGTTTTGTTATCAAATTTATGCAAGTCTTGAGTGAGAATTACCGATATGCAACACATGAAAGGAAAAAATGAGAGAGGGTAGAGAGAGAAAATTAGAGAGGGTGAGGCAGCTGGGGAGTCATGGGTTTCACGACGTTTCTTTTCCTTGCAGATCTGGAGCTGCCGGAGTAGAGGTCAACGGAGGCCCCAGCGGAAAGTGTCAGCGGTGGTCGAGGTTTGGCAGGAAACTGGTCTCAATCAACCGCCAAGCTTCGGGTAATCAGGTCTGGTATAGACTGCAGGTGGATGATGGTAATAAGCGCTGGTTCATCGTGCTAAACGAGATTCACGTCGTTTGGCTCCAAGGGGTTCTTCAAACGGCCGCCATGAGAAAGTGGTCTTTTCCTGAGCTCTGCGTTAGGAGGTTCAGGGGCCGAGTCATCCTTATCGGTAAGTTCAAGACGCGGTGGGGAGAAGTTCTACAAATCTCTGAGCAAGTGCTGAATGGAAGAGTTTTTAAGGTCTTGATTCCTTCCTCTGGCCCGAAAGAAGGATGGGCAGGATTGATCAGATTGTTACAATCATTTTATAAACGTAAACTTCAACTAAGATTGTGCCCGACCCACGTTCCCGCGTCTCTTCCACTTCCACCGCCACCACTTCACTTGACAAGAGCCACAAGATCATATGCAGAAGTTGTAATGGGTGGGGGCCTCTATGGTGGAGGAAACAGCAGCATTAAGGGGTCTGGCAAAAACAGATTCATCGAAGTGGGGGAAGATGGAATTTCAGAGAGAGAGGGACTTCTGGGAAGAAGCCTGATCATTAGTTTCTCTTCACCAGGATCGGCAGTCTTCAAGAGCAACATTGTTCCAGAAGTCAGAGATTGGGCTACGAGATACTGGGCAATAGATGATAGCTTCAATTTTCTGGACCTTGCTAATTGGAACTGGTTATTAGTATGTCACAAGGTGACGGAAGCCATTAGAATTAAAGATCTGAATTACTTGAGTTTCAGAGAGTTCTCGATCAACATCTCTCCTTGGTCGGAACGAGTTACAGCCCCTGTTTCCGCGGCGTTTGGATCCTTGTTTTTGGTATTCTGATTCCTCTCAAAAGCGTTAATCTGATCACAACCATTGGTATTTTTTGTGGGTCCTTCATTGAAGTCGACTGGAATTCTTGGAGCCTTGATTTTGTGCGAATTCGAATCAAGAAAACTGGACTGATCCCTGGTTCGGTTCCCCTTCATGTGGGGACTCTTCGTTTTACGGCAAGGGTTGTGGTCTCGCCGGTGGGACATAGCAACGATCAACATTGGAAGTTCAATCAGTTTCAAAAGGGGAAGGCTAACAGTCTCGCCTAGGCAAACCCAGTCCAATCCTCCCCATGCAACGACGTGCAAGCTATGGCGGTGAGGGACAACCTAGGTGTGTCTCCCCGCGTTGTCTCGGCACCCAGGACAGCCAAGTCCAGCCGGGCCCAGATTTGGATTCGAAAGGCCGGCCCGATTTGGAATGGTCCTTACCCGCCCATCTTGTTGGACTCTAACCCTGGTAAAGAGGGCTTCTTAGATACCTCGGCCCACAGGAGATAACCCATCTTGCTGAGCAGCCCTCTAAGCCCGTCACCTTCTCGGACCTTGCTACCTTTTTTTCTAAATTCGTTCCTTACCCAGAAGCCCCTCTTCCTTTCCTTTTTTTCTTTAGAACTGCACTAGCCCTTTGTTCTTAGGATCAGCCCTTCTCATCCTGACCTTCACGCTAACAGCTTCCACTTTCACATTTCTCTCAACCACTCAATGCTTCCCTTGTCCCTAACCTCCTCCCTTTCCGAAACCAGCGCACCTACTATCCACTCTCAACCACGCAATGCTTCCCTTTCCCCTTCCCTTAACCAGATCGACTGTCGTCCTACCTCTCCATCTTCGGAAGGGTCTTCCCTGCCATCATCTCCCTCTTTCATCCCGGAAACTCCTTCAGCCCTACTAAATTCCCTCGATCTCGACTTTCCCTCCCCATCCTGCACCCATGGTGATGATCGGCTGTCCTGGGACTCTGAGGGTTTTCCCTTTGACTCAGACACGTTGGTTGCTAGTTCCTTGGCTATGAGCAGTCTTTTCGATCTAGAACACGAAGAAGGGCAGTCTCAAGTGGAGAAAATAGTTACTGAAGTGGCTATCGCAATGCATAAGAGGAAAATCAAGAATGGGCGATCAAAACTTGAGATGGAAAGGAGACGTTTAGGGCCTATTTCTCTTCAACCATCAGGGCCAAGAAGATGCAAAAGGATTTTGAGTGTGGTCTCTTCCTATACTCTTGACCAATGAACTCCGCTATGTTTATCTGGAATGTGAGGGGCTTATGTGATCCGGAGAAAAGAGGTCGCGTTAAACATCTAATTCGCAGACGAAAACCTCAGATTATTGCTCTTGTGGAAACTAAGTGGTCCTCTTGTTCTGATCTTTTAGTGGGTAGTGTGTGTGGCAGTAGAGACATGGGGTGGATAGCGAAAGATTCTTCGGGCAGTTCTGGAGGTATTGTGGTTTGTTGGGACAAAAGTCGTTTTCAGAGCTTATCTAGCAGCACAAGTTCTTACTTTCTGGCGGTTGAGTTTCTGGATTGTCTCACCTCGAAAACTTGGCGTTTGATCACAGTCTATGATCCGCAGACGAGGACGGACAAGCTTGCGTTTCTTAATGAATTGAACTCCTTTTGTCAGCAGCACTATCATTCTCCTCTCTGTATTGCGGGAGACTTCAACCTGGTTAGAACTCATGACGATTATATAGGAGGTAGAAGAAATACAGACCTGATGATTAGTTTCAACGATTTCATTGATGATAATGAATTGCTCGATCTCCCTATCAGTGGTTGTCGTTTTACGTGGAGTCTCGGGGATAACAGTAATTCTCAATCTCGCATTGACAGAGTGCTGATTTCCCCTGATTTTGACTCTTTATATAGTGATTGCCGGTTGATCGGATTTGAAAAAGTCGAATATGATCACTCGCTGCTCTATCTTCAGTGGGGTGGAAACAGAAGAATTAAGCGCCCTTGGAGGTTTGAGAATATGTGGCTTGAAGACAGTTGTTTCTTCTCAAGCTTGAATGCTTGGTATTCGAATTCAATTCAAGGAAATGGGGCAGTTTTCAGGTTTATGAGGCTGAAAGATTTGAAATAGAACATCAAATAGTGGAATAAGGATGTGTTTGGAAATATCCACGTCAGAGTCGACAATCTACTTAAAGAAATCTCTGATTTAAGCTCAACAAAAGAATCTCGGCCTCTGTCTGAGATGGAAGCTGCTGCTCTTACAGTGAAGAAGATGGATTTGGGTAAAGCCTTGTTTCTTCAGGAAATTTGTTGGAGACAAAAATCCAGGGAGGTTTGGCTCAAGTTTGGGGATCAAAACACTAATTTCTTTCACAGGATGGCAAATTTCAGAAAGAAGGTGAATTTCATCTGGAGAATCAAAATCAACGAGACTATGGTCGAAGATCATGATAATATTGCTACCGGTATTACAGAGTTCTACAAAAATCTTTTCCTGGAGAGTTTACAGATTTGCCCTTTTCCACGCACCTATGGATCTAAATCTCTGAGTTCTTCCGAATCAGCCTCCCTTGAAGTCTCCTTCTCAGAAAAGGAAATTTGGGATTGCTTGGCTAATAGTGACGGTACTAAGGCTCCAGGGTCCGACGGTTTTACCTTTGAATTCTTTAAGAAATGTTGGAGTTCAGTCAAAGAGGATATCTTGGGTGCTTTCAAGGAATTCCATGAGATTGGCTCTCTTCCTAAGTGTGCCACTCATTCATTCATTTGCCTAGTGCCTAAGAAAGATGATACGGAAGAAATAAAGGACCTTCGTCCCATTGGTCTGATGAGTAGTGTGAACAAACTCATCTGCAAGGTTTTATCGAAGAGACTGGGGCAAGTACTTCCGTCTCTAGTCTCTGAGTTCCAGCAGGCCTCGGTTCAAGGTAAGCAGATTGCAGAAGCTGGACTTCTTGCTAATGAGTTGGTAGAGAGTAGAAGGAAGAGCAGGAAACCAGGCTTAATGCTAAAACTAGACATTGAAAAGGCTTTTGATAACGTCAATTGGAGTTGTCTGTATAAGGTTCTCACGAGTCTGGGTTTTGGAGAAAAATAGAAGAAATGGATTCCCAGTGCTGTCTGTTCACCTACCCTTTCTGTTTTGATTATCGGTGAGTCCAAATGCTTTTTCCCGGCTCAGAAAGGCCTTAGGAAAGGAGATCCGCTTTCCCCAGGTCTCTTTGTCCTTGTTATGGACATCTTGTCCTTCATGATAACCAGACTGAAGGCAGAAAGAAAGATAGATGGTTTCTTTATGGATGAAGATGGGCAGAGAGGGGAAGTAACTCATCTCTTATTCGCGGATGACACCCTCATTTTTTTGTAATGCTTCTTACGAGCAGATTTTGCATATCTCAGCCACTCTCGCATGCTTTCAGGCTGTAACAGGATTGAAAATTAATCTGGATAAAACGGTGCTTTATACAGTGGGGGATGTTCCAGAACCGGAATTCTTTGCAGATATAATTGGGTGTAAATGGAGCTCTAGTCCTCCTAAGTATCCCGGATACCCGCTCGGAGCAAAGCCGAATAATAGAGCTTTCTGGGACTCGATTGTGGATAACTACCAGAAGAGACTTCAAAGATGGAGCAACATATATCTTTCAATCGGGGGAAGGCTGATCTTGCTGAAATCTGTCCTTTCTAGTCTCACTACATATTAATTCTCTTTGTTCAAAGCTCCTAAAGGAGTGATCTCCATTATGGAAAAGATGCAAAGGGACTTTCTTTGGAGTGGTGTTGGGAAAAAGAAGAAAATACCTCTTGTGGATTGGAAATTGTGCAAATCGCATAAAGATTATGGAGGGCTGGGTATTGTGGACCTAGCCTCTTTCAACAGTGCTATGCTATGTAAGTGGATCTGGAAATACGCAGTGAGCAGAGATAAATGGTGGAGATCCCTTATTGATGTTAAATATTCGAATGGTCAATCACAATGGCAAACTGGATATAGAAACAGGGGTCGATCTACTTCTGTTTGGGTAAACATTATGAGGGATAGCGAGCTTTTCTGGAGGTTCGCCTATATAGATCCAGGGAATGGCTCTGATTTCTCCTTCTGGTTCGACCGGTGGAATCCAAACCTCACCATCGCCGATGCCTTTCCAAGAGTCACCGCCATTGCCTCAAATCCGGAAGCTAAGATCAGCGACGTCGTGGAACTCTCAGGTGACAATTTAATTATCAATTTAGAAATTAATGTTGTGCTGAGAAGAGGGGCTGAACAAGAGAGGTTGAACTTACTTTACATTCTTAGTTCTTACGATTTCAAATCCAGAATTAACAGTCCTTGCAGAGTTGTTTGGCAGCCTAGCCCAGAAACGGGCTTTACAGTTAAAGAAATGTACAGGACAGTCATTGAAGACAATTTTTCTGGGGTTCCTAATTTCCCCTCCAACTCGATGTGGAGGAAGATCGTTCCAGGAAAGATTTGTGTGTTTGTTTGGACAGCTGTGCTTAAAAGAACCCTGACCCTCGATGCCTTAAAGAAGCAAGGCTTGAAGCTAGCTAATCGTTGCGAGCTCTGTTGTAAGGAAGAGGAATTAGTGGAGCATATTCTAGTCGGATGCAGCTTTACCAGACAGGTGTGGAACGTGATAGAGAAGGGATGCAGTTTCACCAATCTGCCTGTTGGTGCTAATCTCGCAGCAACAATTGAGAATTGGCCTGGTTCTATTCCGAGCAACTTTGTTGGGTGGGTTAAATACTATGCCTTTCATGGTGTCTCATGGTTCATTTGGCTTGAGCGCAACCAGAGGATTTTCCATGATGTCTCCTCCAGTCCGGATCGGATTGCTACAAGAACTATTAACAACATCTCAAGGTGGATTGTAGCTAAAGGCAAAGCTGATCGCAACTCAGTTGCTGCCTAGATGCAGGTGTTTCGGTATCGAATCATTTAATTTTGGCTTTGTCTTTGCTCCGAGGAGGATGGGACAATGAGCTTTTTTTGGTCGCTTGATCGTTGGGAAGATGTGGCAGTCTTGCAATGTCTCGTGGGGGTTTATTTGGGTGCTAGGTTGAGCCCGCCTGTTGGGCAGGTTGAGTGTTTGGCTTTGTTGTTTCAATCGCTGTCTTTACTTAAGCTTAGATCAGGGGCCTTCTGATGGGCCAAGCTCCTTTGATCCTTTTTTTTTCTGTTAGAAGGTTGTTCTTCTTTTCTTCCTTCCTTTCATTCTTTTGGTTTGTTCTTGTCTCTTTGGTTGCACTCCTAGTGCCCGTTTGTATCAGACTCTTCTTATTTCAATTTATTATTCACCTTCATCAAAAAAAAAAAGAGAGAATTACCGATATGCAAGGCTCAAGTCTTGTATAAATGCTCATTTGCCTAGTATCGAAGTTGTGTTTAAGCAGATTGTACAACTTGATAAACATATGAAGGATATCACTGCTGGAAAATGTGGTATTAATTCTTTGGCTCTGCTAGCACTTGGTCAACATGGGGTGGTAAGTCGGGACAGGCAACAAGAAATCCTAGGGAATACACTCCAAAATGGTAAGAAGTGGTGTAGGTATTGCAAGAAAGAGTATCACACTATTCGGGATTGTTACAAGCTTAAAAACAAAATGCAAAGGATGGATATGATGGAAATCATTTTGTTGGTGTTGTCAATGCATTTGTAAATGAAAATCAAGGATCCAGTAGTTTTGGTGGTTCAAGATTTGATTACTCCCTTACAAACTTGCTTACCCCATATCAGTTTGAGAAGCTTAAGATAATGCACACTTGTCACCTACTCCTTCACCTTTGCCACCAAGTTCATCTCATGTTCCCATGTCAATACAGTTATGAGATATACCAACAATACATATTGTTGCTAGTTCTTCAAGCAAACAACTCTCTCCTCGCTTGCTTGACTCCTTCAATGGATCTACCTGGGCGCTGGACATAAGTGCTACATATCACATTATCTGTAACATCTCTTTCTTTCTCAAATTCAAACTCATTGAAGACATTCATGTCACTTTACCTTATGGACATCAAGTCAAATTTACTCACGTAGGGATAGTGAGATTTCCATGTGGATTGTTTCTCACTAAAGTTCTTTCATTCCAGTCTTTACTTACTATTTGGTTTTTGTAAGTAAGATAACCAAACACTATCCTTTCTCGTTAGTTTTCAAATCAAAATGAAGTATCGTTTAGGACCTTATTGCTTGGAGGAAGATTGGTTTAGCCCAAATGAATAGAGAAATATACCTGTTTTTTTATTACAAGTCCCAACGATATGATTCCATAGTATTTTCCTAGTATTTTGTAGCAGGAGTTCCCAGCCTTTCGAGGCAAGAAGTTGATATCTGGCAATGCCAGATTAAAACACCCCACTTTGTCAAGAATGAAAGTTGTAAAGTCTCTTTGTCATGACATTGTTTTTCCTTCTATAAGCATTATGAAAGTTGTCACTTGTCCAAACAAAAGAGGTTGTCATTTCTTGTTAGCACCTTTGTTAGTCATTATATATTTCATTTACTTCATGTGGATACTTAGGGTCTCTCATAATACAATTTCTAGAAATTTTTATTTTTATTTTCTCACCATTGTTGACAACCACAGTAGGGTTGTTTGGGTTTTCCCCATAAAAACCAAACGAGAAGCTCATTCCATTTTACAACCATTTTGTATAATGGTGAATAATAATTCTCTTAACCTATTAAAACAATTAGTACATATTAAAGTCCTATAGTTTCACATGGATGAGTTTTATAAAGTTAATGGAATCACTCATAAAATTATTTGTGTTTACACAACAAAACAAAATGGTCGTGTTGAAAGAAAAAAAACAATACTTATTGAATGTGGCCAGACCACTTAAGTTTCAGTCTAGTCTTCCTTTGACTTACTGGGGGATTTTTTCCCACATGCTACCTTCTTCGTCAAGATAATCTCAATCCTCTATTAAACCACAAATCTCCCTTTTGAAATCATTTATCATGTTCGAACTCACAATCGTTTCCTCGTGTTCACTTAGCAATCACTCTCCAACCAAAGCCTTGATCTTTACTGTTAAAGAAAGAACAAATAAGAGTTAATATAATTTTTGGCCCCTGAACTATAATGGTGTTCCTATTATGACCCCTTAACTATTTATTTTTCTAGCATGGGTGCTGAAGTACCGATATTTTTTCCTAATTTGGCCCTTATCGTTCAAAATTTGTTAGTCTCCAATTGGGACCTATATAAACATGGACATAGGGTCCATGCGTGTAAAAGACATCATAATTACAAAAATATTCACCTATATTCTTAATCCCCTCCTAACCAATCCCTTTCATGAGTTTCACCCTACATTTCTAATCAGAATCAACAAATTAATTTATCTTATGTAGAAATTGAAAAAATTATTCAAATAGCATTGGTAACTTTGTAATACATGATTATTTGATGAAGTCATCAACTAACTAGCATGTATAGTGAGAAGTTGGGGCACCATTTAACAGAAGATGAACACTCTTTTAATTGCAAGTGCAACAACAGGAAAATGTTTATATTTGAAGTACTATGTTAGGAGGAAAAAATAGCAAATGGGTTACGATATGAAAATCTTCATAGTTCAGGGACCAAATACAGCGTTAACTTAACAATAGACTAAGGGGTCGTTTGGTTGGGTTAGTTATAATGAATGGATTGTCCATAAGACCATCTTTAATGGGGATCCAAAAATGCAAAAAACTGAACCCCAACAACTTTAATGTAGCTTCAAAAGTCCAAATAATTGGACCAAAGCTACTTTTCAGTTTAAATTTGCACCACTAGCAGCCAAGAAGTTCCAAATTGTAGGGACCACCAATTCTCCTCCTTTTCAAACCGATAGTAATTAAAAAATAGTTTTACAAATTGCATAATCAGTCCCCCCAATCTCACCCCCGAACAGCTATTTGCACCCCAACAACTATTTTTTCCACATTTCTCCTATAAATACACCTCAATACACTTCAAATTCTTCACTTCTACTTCATTACTTCCATTTTCTTCCTCTCAATTCTCTCAAATTGTGATATTCATCATCTCTCCATCCAAAAAAATTGTTTCATAGCAATCGCATCGTTGAATTGGAAGGAATCTGAGGATAAACTTTGTGCTACGCATGGATTGAAATTTTGGAGGACGGTTCTGTTGGTTCTAATTAATATGAGAATGAATTTTGGAGGCGCGTTGGGGTCATATTCGCCGAGAGACGCACGGGCATTTCACGTCCCGACGGCAGCCTCCACAAGCGATGGAAGATCATACAAAAGAAATGTGGTTCGTGGAATGCGGTGTCGAGAAGAGCAAGCGCGACACCAATGAGCGACGAAAACCTCATCGATGTGGTTAGTCACAAGAAAAGTATAATTATTATGCATTTTATTTTCTATTTGATTAGCTTATTTTAAAACATACATAAATTAATTGTAAAGGTTGAACGAGCGAAAAATATTTTCGAGGCAGACACCGAATAGGCATTCAACTTGCAGCATTGTTGGGAGATACTTCAACATTGTCCAAAGTTCATGGAACTATTTTAGTCCTCTGTGCCACCCATTCCACCAATGGGTGGATCTTCATAGGGCATGCCATCCGGCGAGAGTGATAGCCTCGACGTTCAAGCTACTCCTTTTGTGATCAACGGTCCCGAATGTCGGGATAAGCAAAAGAAGAAGAATAGAGGAACTCCATATTCTTCCTCATAAGCGTGGAACTAGAAGCTTGGGAAAAGAGTATGACCAATATGGTGGAGAATTCAAACACACAAACAAGGCTAGCACTCGCTAGAAGAACGTGAAGTTGAAAGAGATGCAAGAGATAGAACAAGGGAATTAAGGGAGAAAAATAGGCATGAGATGATGGTAATGAATAAGGATCTTTCTCAAATGAGTCCTCGATCTCGAGCTTGGTATCATAGACAAAAAGATGACATTGTGGCTACTTACCAAGATGCTCCCGATATGTAATCTTCATTTTGTTGATTTATGTTTGATGTAAGCTTTTCATTGTAATTTTCATGTACTTGCTTTTATGATTGGTGTCCATTTTTCCTTGTAATTTTCAAGTCATTGCATTATGTGTAGTGTAGGGTGTAGTGTCTTTATCGCTATGATATTGTGGCTACTTACCAAGATGCTCCCGACATGTAATCTTTTTGTCTATGAATTGCGACAAATTGAAGCTGGAAGCAGGCTGGGAGTTGCTGGAATTGATTCCTGGGATCCAGGAAAGTCAATTACGAGTGGTAGATTGGAACGAGCAAGCTTCAAGATGAAATTCCCAAATTTGGAACACTCGTCGGAAAATTTGAGCCTGCCGGAAATTGGAGAAATGTAGCGACGTGTTCTGTGTTTGTTTGAGCGATTTTTTTTTTTTGCGTGGGAAAGGTCCATTGGAGTCCCACGAACATCATAGCATTCGAATTGTGGAAAACAGCAGCAAGATCACAAGTTGACGATGGAAAAAATCATTCCCATTGACAAATAATGATCGATGAATCACTTATATATTACTATGGTATAAGTATATGAACTCTCAAGCATTATCATCATGTTTTTTGTTCAAAATATATCAAAGAGGATGTCATTTTGAAGAACACAACTAATCTGATTTGTGTGTGAAAAAAATGAATTACGACTTAAGATGAAAATGATATAGCCTACTAATATTAATAGAGAAGGAGAAATAACCATGGTTTATGCATCTCTATCTGGACTTCGGTTACCTAAATGGGTTTGTAGGTTATTAGTTGAATAAAATAACTAGGAAGACTGGTATGTATATTGTGATATTAATCCGTCGGTAGTAGAACTAGGATTTACAATCTATCTAAAAGCCAACAAATTGAAAGCGACCTCTACAAATCATTCAACAAAAACAAGATGGCATTCTCGTTCGAGAAAATATTATCGTTACTTTGAACTTTCGCATCCAAATCCACAAAATAAAAATCTATCAAATATCAAATCTTGCAAAAAGTTTGGAGTTCTCTTTGAATCTGATTCATCCACGAGGGTTAGTAAAAATAAATGATATTATTGACCATTTCATAAGGCGTTAAAGCAATACTTTCCTTCCATCCCGTCAAATTATAACCAACAATCTAACAATAATATTGCGGTTTCACTTTATGCGTGCATATTTGTAGACCTAAAAAAATATCATTGACTATAACTCCACCATGTAATATACACCCTTTTAAAATGAGGATGCAACGTCGAGTCACGTTCACAAAAAAAAAAAGTTCTAAAACGACAAAAAAGTTCAATAAGAATTGTAAACAAAAAGGATCCGGAAAATAAAGTTGATAGAGAATGAACATGGGGGATGATCAACGACCATGGGCTGATATATGTTTAGAGCTATTGGATTCCATCTACGGGAGACTCCCATCCCACGTCGATGGTACTCATTTTGGCAGTGTATGCAAAAACTGGAACCAAGTCCACACTCAAGTTGCCCTTTCCAGCCCCCGGCCTGTGTTGATCGGCCATGTAAAATTGTCCAGCTCGGACGTCATCCAAGTGCGGGAGGGTAAGCGGCTTGTCCTCCAGCGACGTCGTGAATCACAAATCCCATATCAGCTTGCAGATGTAGACATAAGGATCCTTGGGATGGCGGGAGCGTGGTTGCTTATAATAGTGCGTGACGCTTTCTTAAGCTGTTACAATCCTCTACTCAGGAGTCCCGCAAACTACATCAGCCTTCCAACCCCAAGTTGGCGTTTTTCTAACTACGACAACCATTATAGACCGGGCACAGAACTCAAATTTGCTTTCTCATCACTACCCACTGCTCTCAACTCGACGATCCTCGTGGTGTTTGGAGACTGCTATTTCACCATGTTTCGTCGTGGAAGAAATGATGAATTTGAGCAAAAAACGTATGATTTCTCCTTGGGTGGGAAGAAAGGACAAACATGCATTGGCGTGGGCTATGAAGATGATAGATTCTTTTGTTTATTTGAAATGGGGGATATGTTGATTTTCAGTATCGACAAGAATGATACAAGAATGTTGTTGGCGGCAACTAAGTCTCTGCTTCCCGACCAACTCTCGCGATGGGACAGTCTGCTTGTTGTGGCGGTGGTGGTAACAAAAAAAATTGCGGCTTCAAATGATCGATACCATGAGGCAGGAGATCAGGTGATAGGGTTTAGGATGGTCACTCATTGGCAGCGAGATCGTGAGGGGAGCTTCCAGCTAGTGACAGTGAAGAAAAATGCTCTGACGACAAACGATCAATTATTGAAGAATAACAATGGTAATGACAAAGAGGGAAATAGCAGATCAACAAAAGTGATTTTAGTGAAAGATCGGTTGCCATTGAAGAGAACTTTCGACATATATTATATGAACATACTGTTTGTTCTTCCTAGCATACTTGCCTATTTTTTTCTTGCTTTGATAGTTAGAAGGTGTGGTTCTAACCGGTAAAATTCGAATCGATTTGTTTTCTAATTGTTGCATGCTTTGCTTGAATTGGTCTTTTGTTTCGCAAATGGATTCTTCGAACATAGAGAAATATAATGAAGGGGTACATAATACTTGTTATTATTACTAGCTTGGATCTGGCCAATTGTCCTGAAATTTTAAGTTTTTTATTTTGTAAATTACCTAAAATATAGATTTTATTAGGGATTCTTATTTTTAATTTTTTTTATCAAATAAAATTCTGTAACTAATTCATAGCCTACATGACTCACGCTCATGTGCATAACTCAACCTCATATTGTTTTTAATTATATTAGTTATAGAAAAATACCTCAAACTCTAATCCCTAAATAATGATAACAAAACAATATATCTAACCTCCAAAAATCTATAAGCCGCAAAATGAAATATGATTTAAATGCAGTTATTTTCATGAAATCATTTGGAATGAGTATATATCAATGAAGATTAAAATTGCATATTTGTACATAAATGCAGTAGTTTTAAGGCAAAATTCACTTATATAGCCATAACTTTCACCTTTTGGACAATAATAGCCATTTTTTTTTAATAATACACAGAAATAGCCAAAATTTTAAAACTTGATGGATTAATTTAGCCATTTCCGTCACAATATTTAACAGCGTCACTCAATCCGTTAGTTTAGTGGACGTTCTGATGACATGCCTGCCACCTTGGCGCCACCTATACTGAACATTGCCACATCTTTGAAATGTCATATTTCAAATTAAAAAATTAAAAATAAATAAAAATTCCTGTATACAAAATCTAACTCAATTGATCGATTGGGAATTCTCCTCTCATTTCGCCCCTTTTCATCTCTGCTAGGAATCCGCCCCAAGACCCAGTCGCCAGAACCGCTTCTCCACCTCTCCCGAGAATCAGCCGTCGCCGCCACCTTTCTCTCAATCGACGAGTCGCCCTCTCCCCGAGAACCTGCCGTCGCCGCCGCTTTTCTCTCATTCGACGAGTTGTCTTCTACCCGAGAACCAGTCGTCGCCCTCTCCACGAGAACTAGTTGTAGCCGCCACCTTTCTCTCAATCGACGGGTCGCCCTCTCCATGAGAACCAGCAGTCGCAGCCCTCCAAAATCCAAAACCCCTGCTCCCAAACATCTTCACGAGTCATCCTCTCCATTCTAGAGCTGTTGTAATAATGTCACAGAGGATTCGAAGTGGGACTTCGTCGAAGTTTGTTGAATCGGCTTCAACAAGCGTCAACAGTTTAGGTCTCGTCCTTTGCTATCATAAGGCTCCTTGTGTGGTTAAGCGATCAGGTACTGAAGGAAATCCCGACCGAAAATTCTACGGCTGTCCTTACTGGAAGGTAAGGAGTAAATAATTTCGTTCCTCCACTCCCACTGATGCATATGAATGATTCTAAGGATGGCCTTGTGCTCTCCCTTTGCAGAACGTGAAGAAAAATTGCAATTTCTTTAGGTGGGTCGAAGGTAATGGCGACGAAAAGGAGTCACATAATACTACATTGGAGGACACTATTATGAAGCTGGAAAACAGAGTACAGTGAGCAGAATGTAAGGCAGAGCAGAGGAAGAAGGCAAAAAAAAATGGCGGTTTATGGCAGTTCATGAACGTGTCTTAGCTGATGTTAGGAGGGTGAATGTTGATATATGTATCGTTCGTTATATGCTGTCAGTTTTATTGTTCGTGAATTCTTTGGTGATTGTAGTCATGTGGAGGCATGAGTATTAGTGTAGATCTGTTAGGTGTTAGAGTATTAGTGTATTTCTGTTCTATAATGCAAGGGGCATGTAATGCAAGGATGTAATCATTGCATGAAATATGAAGATTGAATAAAAGCTATCACATATATAATGCTAAGGGATTTGTCTCACAATGGCATAGTGCTTCAACCTACATTAATTCTACGAAGTACATCGGTTACAACAGCTAGTAGTTCATGGTTCCACCGAATTGTTCAGACGACATCAGAACCTACATAATCAAAGCTGTTTTAAGGGGTAAAACAGAACACACCAATTACATGAGTCAACCAAAATACACCCTATCTAAAACTCCACAAAATAATGACTCAAGTAATCTCCTAATTTTAATCTAAGGCTGAGTAGGTGGTGGTTGACTTCCTTGCAGCTCTAGCACAGTTGCTTCTACTCCACGAGGTCGTTGAGAAGGACCACTTCCAGTAGGTCTCCCACAATCCCCATTTAGCTGAAATAACAAGTTATTCTACATTAACTCAGTCCACATGAACACAGAATTAGAATTTGTACAATAAGGAGCATGTATACTTACCCTAACATACTGATTACCAGTGGTCTCATCAACATATACACCAATCCCAGTTGTTGCAACACGCAGCTCCCTTTGAATTGTAGCTCTATCAGCTACATTCAATATAACGTCCTACACATATCCATCACCAATAACAGTTCAGATTTGCACAATTCCTTCAATCTCACTTCATATATTCAAAGTTATGTAAAAATACATGTATTCCAATCCCCTTATTTAGAGGACAGGTCCGCGCATTGTGGGTAGGTTGTCCACATTTGGAGCAGTGGATGCCTCTCTTCTTTCCTTGATTGCCTTGGTTGTTCTCATCTTCTTGCCTTGCAATTCTTTTTCCTCCAGCTCTTGCAGTATTCCCCCTACATTTGAAATAGCAAAGTTTTGTTTACTAGATTGACCGGAAATCAGTGTGCAATACAAAGAAGCCTAAATTGTAATATTACCACTTCGTTGGCAGCAATGGGAGCCTTGCATGATCTCGAATTGTGACCCTCAGCTTTACACCTCTTGCAATGTATTATGGTACCTTTTCGTGTGACCTCTTCACCAACTCCTCCCCGCTGTGCTCTTGTTTCAAACTCGATGGCAGCCTTTCTGCGATTCTTCTTTGGCCTGCCAGGCATCGACCTGCTTTTGGGAGGATGAACCGGGTACCCTACAGTACTTGGCCATGCCCGTCTACCGTCAAGACAAGACAGGCCATTCTCGTAAGCATTGGCCACATAACTTTTTTGGTACGAATGGTGGACATAGTCAACCACTTCAAGTCTCATGTGGGTGATTGCCGAGATGGCATGAGAACATGGCAACCCACTGGGTAAAACTCGCTGGGTTTGAAAAACTCAAACCCAACCCGCTGGGTATCTGCGGGTTCATGGGTACTCGTGGGTTTTTGTGGTAAAAAATTTACAATAACAAGTTGCTTTCAAAATAAAAGTTTAACATCAATTTTCTCATATAAATTATTCATACAAAAAAAACCAATCTAGAGCATACGAGCAAACCGCAAATGATCAAATGCAAATTGTTCAAAATTAAAGATAAAAATCTATAAACAATAAGATTAATTGAAAGCTTCTTCCTCGTCAACTAAGTTTCTTCACTCTCTACTTCATAATATCAACTTCATTCTAAACAATCAGAAAGAACAAATTATACATGTCTCCACAAACATAAAGAATATTAGTTTTTTGAGGACGATATATTATTTAGAATATTAAATATACCGGGAAAGTAATTATATGTGTGTGGGCGGGTACCCATGGGGCGGGTTTATCTAAACCCAAACCCAACCGGACCCGGTAAATAGTGTAGCGGGTTTAAACCCGAACCCTGCCCAAAACCCGTCAACATGGGTTTTACCCGCGTTGACCGGGTTGAGTCAGGTGGGTACCCGTGGGTTCGGGTTTTGTGGCCATCCCTATCTGCAGGGCTGCAGCCCATTGTCATCCATACTGGAAAACGACAGGTCGTTTCTTCATAGCCGTTGCTTACCATCATCATCCCCTTTTCTCGTCTCTTTCTTCTCTGTGATACGACTCGTATGAGCTCAGCATCAGCAGTATAGTATAGTGAAGTCTCCTTCGGATATCTGGGAAGAGCTTAAGAAGCTTCAGCTGCAAAAAAAACAGTAAGAAGATGGCGGATAGCAAAGCAATCCGAGTGGTGAGCAGAATTCCCGCGCTCGTTTTTGCGCCACCACGGTTGTTCCGCCCTTCTCAATTCTCGTCCCTCCCCCGCCAAACCTCCTCTTTGTTTCCGAGTCCTGGCCATGGATGTCAAGAGGAGTCCCAAGCGTCTCAAATACCCCGCTCCTCACCTCACCAAGGTCTCGATTTTTCTTCTTCCTGGCTTTCCGCTATAATCGCGATTAAAATGGGTAGGAGGGCAGTTTGGTTTATGTGGAAGCTGAGCCTAGTGGGGAGGATAGCTGGAAGTTAGATCCCATCATTGAGATTCTGAAGCAGGGCGCCGTTGGTGTAATTCCCACTGATACTCTCTGTACGATTTGAGCAGTTTGGCTTTCCTTGCGATCGATCGTTCCTCGTTCAGTGTACTTTGGGTGGCTGATTTCTAGTCCTATTTTGATTATTAGGTACGCCATAGTTTGTGATATGAAGATCCCATCAACTATTGAACGTCTTCGTAGGTACTAGTTTTCTCCCTCTTTTGAAGGCGTTCTGAGTTTGGTGGTACCCCTAGCATTGAATTTTCAAGGTGGATGCTTTTAATTGAAATGCAGCCTCTCGGCATCTTATGCCCCTCTTTGGGTGATGTAGACATGTACACGAACTGATTTCCCTAACGGTGATGCCCAAGGACACGCGAATATCTTCCGAGCTGTTAAGCATTTTTTCCTTGACCTGTAAGTAAGGATGTAATCTATCTTACAGGTTACGGGCATTTGGGAAGGCAATGAAGTTCCTCATTTGGTTGTATTGGTCAAATAACTAGGAAGTTTCCATTACATTGCATTCGCATCCCAATAGGACGTGCAGATGGGGCTTGAATGGGATTGATGATCATGGCTGGTCTTAATTCATCATTTATGGTTATGCATTTATGTTAAAGTACACTTTCATACCGACTTCAAGCAAGGAGTTGCCTAAACATGTATGAGGTATGGGACTCCAACTGCTAAATATGCTGCTGGAAGGATGTGGGCGTCAGGATACCGGATGATGCCATTTGCCGGCCAATACTTGAAAAGCT